CAGTATTAAATTACGTTCAATACACTCTATTTAAGAAGTCTGAGAAATATATAATACATTTTAGAAAGATTTATATCAAAAATGGCTAAAATAAACAATTTCATTGCTTAATGAGGTAATAATATTCAGTTATCTGAATAAATAAAATTTCTTTATTTGGGACACTTTTTTCTCATGATTATCCAGATCTTTCATGTTCTTTCTGTAGGTAGTCCCCATTTTATGATTTTAGGAAGTATTCAGAAGCTCATTTTGATCTTATAATTCTGTGGTGGTTTTGAACATATAACATATTCTTTCCCTAGAAGTAAGATTATAAATTGCGGTCAGTTTACCAGGTTGGCCCACAAAAGCCTACTTGATACATGCCATAATTAAGCTAGTGGTGGTAGTAGTAGTAGTAGTAGTAGTAGTAGTAGTAGTAGTAGTAGTAGTAGTAGTATTGGTGGTAGTAGTGGTGGTGGTGGTAATAGTAGTAGTAATGCCTACCTTCTGATAAAGCCTCCGTGGTCAGTAACTACCCAGATAGAAAGGGAGTTCTGTAGCTTAACTGACACTTTTTGCACTCTGGAGTTGTGGGGCAAACCCTACCCCCATGAGTCAGTTGTTGCCAAGCCTGGGACTTTCATGAGATGCGTGTTTAAATAACACCTTCCCTTAGCCTTCCCTTTTGCAGGTTAAATAATGCTAATTCTTTTCACCTTTCCTCAAAAATGCTGAATTCTTGTTTCTGAATCAGTTACTTAAATGATAATTCACATGGCTTTTTGTGATAGGTTTCACAACTTGTGTTTTACACATTGGCACTTTGTTTTAATTTTCTTTTGTTTGCAAGCCCTTCTCTATTTTCTATGATCTTGTGCTTTCTATTCTTCACGATAGTGCCTATGTTTTTATCATCTGACTGTTGCCATCATTATAAAGAGTTGATCAAGCATATACTTATACATGTATACTATTTGAGGCTCTCTTCAGAGTGATTTAGGCCAATATTGTGCCTGCTTTCTAGGGTCTTGCAGTCAAAGACTGATAAGACTTAACAGAGACAAGTATGTTTAGAATATACAGGTTTCTGCAATTTCAGATACAACCTTCTTGAATATTCACTAATTAATAAAGCAGAATTCTGTCATCATTTTAAAGTTTATGTGTATACAAATAAATGGGCCTAATCTTTATTAAAATACTTCAAAAGATCTATGATGCCACAATATCCACTGATGCACCAGATCACAACCCCTCCAAATCATAGATAATCACTTATTGCTGTGTACAGAAAGATGTATTGCCTGGTGGCCAACCTGTTGGTAACTAGCCTCTATACATATAACCAATCTGGTCTTTAGATGGCAGAATCCATGACTTGGACCCATATTCCAGGCATTTCTAGCTTTGTTCAGATATGCCAGGTTCTGTGATCTGCTGGCATAGCTACTGAGAATCCAAGGTCACTTCCATGCTAGGAAATGACCTTGGAGTAAGATTTTAGTGGTGAAAACATTGAAATATGTATTTTAAAATTAAGGGGGGGGAGAAATGCTTTAAGAAGTTTAAAAATTTGACTTCTTGGGCTTCTTTGTACCAGATAAAGATGCATAGGATGAGGTGAGAACAAGGACAGGCAATAAATTCTTATCGCCTTCTTCATTTATAAGGCTTTCTTCTCTTCCCATTTTGACAAGATAAGACCGATCACCTGCCTAGATAGTGATGGGAGCTGCCATCAGGGTTGCCTGGTGGGAACTTGGCGGGGTAGAAACCTCAAAGAGTTGTCAGACACTCAGCCTTTTAGGTGAGCATTATCTTTTGCACTTTTTCTTACCCTCAAGAGCCATGGTATAGTAGCTGGAAATCTGGCTACAAAACCCTCACATTCTCATTTCTTATCCTGCCCTTGACCCATGCTTGCAGTGTGGCCATAAACATCTGACCTTGGCCATGCTCTAGGCAGCCCTCCAAATTGTACGTTGGAGAGAAGTTGCTCACCTGCACTGGTTGAAGAAGTTTCCTCACCTGGGAGTTCTCTATGTCAGTGCAATCACAGGTCTAGTTTCATCCACATTCGCATCCACATCCTCATCTTCCTCCCTATCCCTTCCTCCCTTTGGAGATGGCTCAGAGGCCTAGCATCAAAGGAATCTGAATAGCCTACTTTGTGGAGGCCAGCTAACCCTGAGGGAGTGCCAGGCTTGGAATCAGGAAGACCCAGGTTCCAATCTTGGTCTCTTATATTTATTAGCTCTGTGACCATGGGCAAGTCATTTAACCTTTGAGCTTCAGTTTCCTTATCTTTTAACTGGGGATGTATCAGACAGGGTTGTTGGGAGGCTCAAATGAAACAGTCTGTACTATGCTTTGCAAACCTTAAAGCATTATGTATTAGAATTAGAATTATTAAATTTAACAGAGGTAGAAATCAATTTTAAATCTCCCTATGATTGGTTTTGTGTTAATGGAGTTGGTGTGGTAGTGGGTATTCTCTTATTCTTATGGGAAATTTAATCAATAACTTAATTTTAACTGAAGGACTCAATGCCTAAAGAAATATGCTTTTCTTTCAGGTTACATAGAGTTCAAATGCTGATACAAATGAGGGGGAAGATTGAAATCAATAGGATCCTTCATGAGTGGACATTCCATAATGTTTAGGTACAGGTTTTGAAAAACCTGGCAAGATAGGCCTGAGCAGCAACATTGAACAAATATTAATTGTGATGATTCAGTGAGAGTTCTCTTGTGGAAAACTATTCTGAGAGTTGTCTGGTAGGCTTGCTATGTTATGATGTATTCTGTGTCCAGTCCCACTCGGAGAAACTTGGCTGAAAATTGCCCTGCACCATATGTTCCAATGACTTCTTTTCTTCTGGTCCATCTTGCACACTACTACCAGAAAGAATAATCTGCCTAAAATATTTCTTTGACCTAGTTATGCCATTGCTTAAAAAAAATGCAATAGATACCCATTGTTGTGGAAACAGTACGAGACTTAGAATCAAAAGGCCTAGGTTCTAACAGTAATTCTAACATTCATTAATCATGGGACCTTGGACAAGTCACTTAAACTTTAGATTTCAGTTTTCTTACCTGTAAAATGGAGATAATAATGTCTGCCTGCCTAGTCTACCTCATTAGCAATGTTGAGAGCCTTAGTGAGATAGTGAATGGGGATTTGGAAACTGTAAAGCAATAAAATCAACAGGAAGCTATTAAACACTTACCATCTGCCATGTATTGTGTTAGGTGCTGGGGATACAAAGACAAAAGTAAGATGGTCCATGTTCATGGAGAAGTACATGTAGGATGTAAACAAAACAAATAAAAGGTGATGGGTGGTGGGGTCTGGACTGGGGAGGTTATGGTATAGACAAAAGGATGTCAGTGTGAGAGAGATTAAGGAGATAGATAATGTGATTTGGCAACTGATCATATGGGGTCTAAGGGGAGAGAGTGAAAAGTGAAAAGTCACAGTGAAAAGGTTATAAACTGAGGTGACTGAAGGAATGGTGGTGCCTTGAACAGAGAAGGGTAGTTAGGATGAAGGTTGTGTGTAGGGGGAAAGATAATGAATTATGCTTGGGATGCGTTGAGTTCAAGATGGGTATGGGACATCCAGATGCTGATCTCTGGGAGTACATGGAGATGTAGGACTGGAATTTAGGAGACATGAGGGCTAGATATCTAGATTTAGAAATCATAGAGATAATAGATAAATTCATGAGAGATGATAAGATCACCGAGAAAGAAGAGGAGAGGCACTAGGACAGAGATTCTGTCATACAGTATGTGTGCGCAAAGGGGTAGAACATGAATTATGAACCTGCAAAAGAGACCGAGAAAGAATAATCTCACAGGTAGGAAGAAAATCATGATGGAGCTAAATTATAAAAACCAGGAGAGCATACAGTATCCATAAGGAAGGGGTGATCAGTAGAGGTCAAGAACAGTGAGAACCAAGAAAAGACCATTAGATTTAGCAATCAGAAGGTCATTTACCTTGGAGACAGCAGTTTGAGTCAAGTGGTGGTGTCAGAAGCCAGACTGTTAGTGGTTGAGAAGTGCTTGGGAGGGAGGGAATGAGCATTTATTAAGCACCTACTACATACCAGGCAATGTATCAAGCACTTTACAAATATTATGTCTTTTGATCCTAACAATAACCCTAGGAAATAGGTGCTATTATGATCCCCAACTTACAATTGAGGAAACTGCAGCAGACAGAGATTAAGTCTGGGGCTGGATTAGGCCCAGCTCTCTATCTACTGTGCTACCCGCTTATTGGGAGATGAGAATGTGGAGACAGCTTTTTCTAGGAGTTTGGCTGTGAAAGAGAGGAGAGACAGACGGTAGGATCAAGCAAAGGCTTTTTAAGGTTGGAGGGCTCTGGGCATGCCACATTTACAAACATTTTTATTAAGCACCTATGCTCTGTGCTAAGCCCCAGGGATACAAAGAAAGGCAAACAGTCCCTGCCTTCAAGGAGCTCTAATCTAATAAGGGAGACATTGCAAACTATGTAAAAGCAAGATAAGTACAGAATAAATTGGAAATAATCTCTGAGGGAAGGCTCTACCATGGAGGGAGACTTGGAAAGCAGTAAGAGTTTAATAGAGGAAGCAAAATAATTAGGTTCTTGTTAATCTTTCTTGCTTCTGCATATCTATATTTTATGTTCTTTTAGCATTGGAACTTATTCCAATAAGATTAGAAGGGTTAGTTTTCAAAAAATATGGCTTTAATTTCCTTTTAAGTAATTAAATGGAGAACAGATCCTGACAGTTAGCTCTCATTCAAATTCGGATTTTATATACTGAAGGAGAAGAAAAATTCAGGTAAATGATTAATTATCTTTGTTAGAGTGTTTTGAATACAGATCATACCACAGATGGATCTCCTGATTAAGTTTATTAGCAATTAAATAAAAACAAAACAATTTTAAAAGTATGCCTACCTATTATTTCCAATATTTTTAGTAATATATATGTAACACAATTTTTCTTTAGCTCCAGTGGCTCCTTGATAACTATGAAACTGCTGAAGGTGTGAGCCTCCCAAGAAGTTCTCTTTACAACCATTATCTTCGGCACTGCCAGGAACACAAACTAGATCCTGTGAATGCTGCTTCCTTTGGAAAACTAATTCGATCTGTGTTTGTGGGGCTGAGAACCCGAAGGTTGGGAACAAGGTTAGTACAAAGGAGTTTGATTGACTATATATCTGACTTCTTCCAACTCCTTTTTTCCCTTATGCATACAGGTTATCTTAGGAGCTGGTGAGGCTTCTATCCCCTGCATAGATATTCTTCCCAAATTAGAACTAACCCCTCCTTGATTCAACCTTATTAGCACACTAGGGATTACATGAACTAGCAATAAGAGCTGTGATGGTATTAGCTCAGTTGCAGTACTGTGGTATCATTTAACAACTATATACCATTTTGGACTCTGCCGGAGTTGATTTCAAAAAGGGAATTTAAACCCCAATTCCTAAAACCCTGTCCTTTTTGACATTTAGATCATCCTTCGCTTCTCTACTACATTTAGTTTTAATGCTTCTTGATTCTTCTTGGGATAGGCTGGGTCACTGGTGCAGTCCCTTAGTCTTCGTTGCCATAATGGTTATATTCATCCAGGAATTTTCTATTAAATGCTTCTATCCCCACCCACAAGTTCTTCTTACTTGGAAAAGATAAGCATTTCTTTAAAATAAAATAAATTTTGCTGCCAAAGCTAATTATTGTGGTAGTATGGTTTTTTGTTTGTTTATTTTTTAACTCCAACCTGTGATCTCATGGGTAGGGTGGGTCCAACATCATTGGTATTCTATATATCTGCTTATTGTCTGAACTACAACTAAAATGGATGTTAGTGTTTATTCACAAAGCATTACATTTTAAACACCTGCGGTTTTCTTTGAATCATTGTGACAGGAAGTCAGAGGATGGTTTTAATTATCATAGTCACAGAGCCCTCCACTGAAATCTTGCTCTCATGCCTCAAAGTGGCATGAAGATAGCCCAGGATTTTCAGGTATAGGTCCAGCAGCAGCCTCAGCATTCTGTTGTCAAATGACCATCCTGGATGGATCATCCTAGCAGTTAATCACTGCAGCCTAAGGAATTTTTTCAGCCACAGTGACTCTTACTGACTTTGACTTCTTGAGGTATGGAGGGACTATTGTCTGCATCAGTGGAGAAAGGATAGCCACACTGATGATATCACAGATCCTGGAAGAAGAAAAGCAAGTATTTCTTTGCATAGCTGTCATCTTAAACCTGCAGCAGTTAACTTCTCTAAAACATTGAAGATACAGGAGAAGAAGGAACTAGAAAAGGAAAGTATTGTAAAAAAGGAAAAAAACAAGCGGTAACAGAAGTGATCAAATTGAAGTCTCCAGAAGATACTACGACCATTGGACTTGAGGCCATGATATTGTCTGTCTCCATCACTTTCAGCTACTCCAACTTTCTCCTGTAGTGGTACCACAGGGTCTTTCAAGGGTGTCCTGTCTCCATCTTCCCAGGTGACACTTTAGGGTTTTGCTTTGGTTCCCTTTTTTCTTCCTTTTTTCCAGTATTCTATTGGACACATACTTGATTCACCATGATGCAAAGGGGATTTTTGGCAGCAAGGAAACCCCAGGCTCACCCTGTTTTCCATTGCTCTTGGCTTTCAGAGTGGGCCCCATTTGGGAAGGGAACTGGGGGACAGGACTCCTAAGACACTGATATTCATGTATGTATCTTGCTATATTCAAACATTTAACTATTTTGATTTTTTACTTCTTATACATCTTATCTCTTATGTTGATAATGTTGACTTAATTGACTTGTCAAGTAATTTAAAATGCCTTTGACATTATCTTTTTCCTGAATTAACTAGGAAATTAGAAAAGTAATGGATTGCTGAGAAGAGTTCTAGAATTCCTTAGATAATTTTAAGAACAGGAGAAATAGCAGGCATAGTCTACCCAGGATGTTTGTTTGAACCTAAGGGGAGGCAAGAGGGATGGAGGAGATGGCCTCTGCATACCACTCCCTAATTTTTTTTTTATGATTTTAATATGTAAAGTGCTTAGCAAACCTTAAAGCTCTGTGTAAAAGTTATTATCGTTACTATTATTTGTCAATCATCTATTATTGAACAGACAGAAATTCATTTAAACAGTAAAGATATCTGGGTAGTAAATGTTTTCTTCCTAGGGGGAATTCCAAATATCATTATTATGGGATTCGTCTAAAGCCAGACTCGCCACTGAATCGATTACAGGAAGACACACAATACATGGCGATGAGGCAGCAGCCAATACACCAGAAGCAAAGGTAAGTGGCCACTCCTTTTTATTCTGCCAGCCAAGACCCTGAACCAATTCCAAGTATAGCTTTATCTTGATATGTCTTTTAGGTAAACTCAAAAAATTTTGTTGCTTCCTTGGAAAATTGTCCAGGAGACAGAAATATTTAGAATTGAATATTTATTGAGGGTCTTTTTTTTGTGCAAAGTATTATGCTAGGCCCCACTGGAATACAGAGAAGGAGGATACACTCTTTTTTTTTTCTTTTGTTTAGATGCAGGGTTTTTACCAGGTTAATAGGAATCAAGACTGTCAGGCTTAGAAACAAAAAGGAAGAGTACAAGGCAGTTTACACCTAGATAAAGTTATAGCCCCCAAAACAAACACAAGTCCCAATATACCCCTTCAACATTCTTGTCTCTAACAGATAAGACTCTTTAAGACATGATTAATTGAATTTTCCTAAAACCATATTCATTCAAGCAAACATATCAGGGAGCATCAATACGAGGAAGTCAAGGAAACTTTGAGGGCAATCTTTGCCCTCAAAAAGGCTCACAATCTAGTTGGGAAATTGACATACACATCAAAAGTTATAGTATCAATCAATTCAACAAATATTTATTGAGCACATACTTAATGCAAAGCCCTTTGCCAGCCTCTGTGGCTGATACAGAAGTAATCTTGTGTTGTATTCTATTCTTACGCTGTTCTCAAAGAATTCATAGTCGAGTGAGAGAATAAGAGCGCACAAACAACAAGGTAAGATGCGGTCATTCTGTCTGTATGTTGTGGCGTAGTAGAAAGAGCTCTAGATTTGGAGCCCAGAGAATCTGGACTCATTTTCCTGCTCTGCCATGTACTAGTAAGTCACTTAATCTCTCTGTGTGACCTAGAGCTAGCGACGTAACTTTTCTGAGCCTCTGTTTTCTTCTTTATAAAATGAAGACATTATTCTAAATGACTCTGAAGGACTCTTCAAGCTCTAAAATGATGATTCATAAGTTATATAAAAAAGGACCATAGATTTGAAGCACGAAAGGACCACACAAATTTTGATGGAGTTGATAGTACAGAGTCTCTCTAGCTCATAAAGGAAAGTGGCATTTGATGTGAGTCCTGAAGGAAACACTGGATTTTGACAGATGGAGCTGTAGCAGGAAAGCATTGAGAAAAGTTAGGGATGTGGAGAAGAAAAGCACAAAAGCAAGGACGTGAATGAGCAATCTAATTTGGCTGGTGTGTAGCACACATATGGGGAATAGTGGAGCATTAAGTTCGAAAGAAAATTCCAGGTATCATGGGGGATTGTATACTTTTTTGCAGATAACAGAAAGCCACTGAAATTTTTGAGTGAGAGAGGGATAATTAGGTAAGTGCTTTAGGAAGATTAATCTAACAGCAATTAATCATTGGAAGAAGGAGAGACTTGGAGGAGACAGATCAATTTGAAAGCTATTGCAGTAATCAATGCAAGAGAATTCTACAAAGCAGTATATATGGCTAAATTGTCTGATTTCTTCCACAAGGTTATTAAATAAATATAATTAAGATAAATATAATCTCAATTTTTAAAAATAGGAATTTAATGAAGGAAGTAATATTGAAAATAATCTTAAGAAGTCAGGAAGAGGACTATTTGTAGACTTACATAAATAACAGAGATGTCTCTTCCCTCTTTGGGGCATGTATCCATAATGAGATAGACAGCCTCCTAACAATGATCCAGTTTAACAGTCACTACCCACTTCTGTCAATTCATGTGGGGACAAATGATGTCATCAGAAGAAACCTAGAAAACATTGTGAAGGATTATGAAGTCCTGGTCAAAAAACCTGAAGACTTTCCTGACTCTTTTTTTTAAAATTTTTTTATTAATTTATTTTGATTTATCAACCACCACTTCCATAAGATTTTGAGTTTAAAATTTTTCTCCCTCTCCCTTCCCCTCCTCCCCAAGATGGCACACAATCTGATATAGGCTTTACATATACATTCCTATTAAACATATTTTCACATTAGTCATGTTGTAAGGAAAAATTAGAACAAATAGGAGGAACTACAAGAAAGAGGAAACAAAACAAAACAGAAGAAAAAAAATAGCAAATAGTATGCTTCGATCTGCATTCAAACTCCATAGTTCTTTCTTTGGATGTAGATAGCATTTTCCATCATGAGACTTTTAGAGATGTCTTAAATCATTGCATTGCTGAGAAGGGCTAAGTCTATCAAAGTTAGTCATTGCACAACGTGGCTGTTACTGTGTACAACATTCGAATCTTGGTTCTGCTCACTTCCCTCAGCATCAGTCCATATAAGTCTTTCCAGGTTTTTCTGAAGTCTGCCTGCTCATCATTTCTTATAGCACAGTAGTATTCCATTACATTCATATACCACAACTTGTTCAGTCCTTCGCCAATTGATGGGCATCCCCTCAATTTCCAATTCTTCGCCACCACAAAAAGAACTGCTATAAATATGTTTGTACATGTAGGTCCTTTTCCCATTTTTATGATTTCTTTAAGATATAGCCCTAGAAGTGCTATTGCTGGGTCAAAGGGTATGCACAATTTTATAGCCCTTTGGGCATAGTTCCAAATTGCTCTCCAAAATGGTTGGATCATTTCACAATTCCACCAACAATGCATTAGTGTTTCAATTTTCCCACATCTTCTCCAACATTTATCATTTACCTGTTTTGTCATGTTAGCCAATCTGATAGGTGTGATGTAGTACCTCAGAGTTGTTTTGATTTGCATTTCTCTAATCAGTAGTGATGTAGAGCATTTTTTCATATGACTATAGATGGCTTTAATTTCTTCATCTCAGAACTGCCTGTTCATATCCTTTGACCATTTATCAATTGGGGAATGACTTGTATTCTTATAAATTTGACTTAGTTCTCTATATATTTTAGAAATGAGGCCTTTATCAGAGACACTGGTTGTAAAGATTCTTTCCCAGTTTTCTGCTTCCCTCCTAATCTTGGTTGCATTGGCTTTGTTTGTGCAAAACCTTTTCAATTTAATGTAATCAAAATTATCCATTTTGTATTTCATAATGTTCTGTATCTCCTGTTTGGTCATGAATTCTTCTATTCTTCATAAATCTAATAGGTAAACTATTCCTTGCTTTCCCAGTTTGCTTTATATCTAAATCATGAACCCATTTTGACTTTATTTTGGTATAGAGCATAAGATGTTGGTCTATGCCTAGTTTCTGCCATACTCTTTTCCAGTTTTCCCAGCAGTTTTTGTTAGTGAGGTCTTATCCCAAAAGCTGGAGTCTTTGGGTTTTATCAAATAGTAGATTAGTATAGTCATTGACTACTGTCTTGCACACCTAATCTATTCCACTGATCCCCTACTCTATTTCTTAGCCAGTACCAAATAGTTTTGATGATTGCTGCTTTATAATACAACTTAATCTCTGGAATGGCTAGGCCACCTTCCCCTGCCATTTCTTTTCATTAGTTCCCTTGATATTCTGGATCTTTTGTTGTTCCAAATGAATCTTGTTATTATTTTTTCTAGCTCTATAAAATAATTTTTTGGTAGTTTGATTGGTATGGCACTGAATAAGTAAATTAGCTTAGGGAGAATTGCCATTTTTATTATATTAGCTCAGCCTACCCATGAGCAACTGATGTTTTTCTAATTATTTAGATCTGACTTTATTTGTGTGAAAAGTGTTTTGTAATTGTGTTCATATAGTTCCTGGGCTTGATTTGGCAGGTGACTTTCCTTATTCTAATTGAAAAGGGAGAGATTTGGAAAGTAAACAGCTAGTTAACATGAGAATTTACAAGAATAGTGAAAAACTGCTGGTTTATGTACTCCAAAGAAGTCAAAGACAGAAAGGACTTGTATATATCTAAATATTCACAGTCACACCTTTTAGGATAGCAAGAACTGGAAACAAAATTACTGACCACTGATTGGAAAACGGTTAAGCATGAATTAATGGAATATTACTGTGCTGTAAGAAACGATGAACATGACCATGATTCCAGATGACGTATGACAAAGAATGCTACCTGTATTCTGACAGAAAGTTAATGAACTGAATTCAAAATGAGACACAGTTTTGGACATGGATACTAGAGGAATTTGTTTTGTTTGACTATGCATATTTGTTATAAGGGCTTTGTTTTTCCTTTTTTTCTGGGGAGGTAGGGTAGAGAAAAAATAAATGCTTGATAATTGAAAAAATAATTTTTAATAATGAATATGAAGAACTCAGAAAAACATGGTAATACTTATAAACTAATGCAGATTGAGGTAAGCAAAGATGGCAGAGTAAAAGGAAACAGTAAAGTCCAGCTCCCCTTCATAACTACTTCATAAAGATCTAAAAAATATACCAGACTAATGGGGGACTGATGGGAAGTCCAAGAAAATAATCACAGTGAGTCATTTTTCCAGTCAAGGGTGGCATAGAGAGATGGATAGAGAGGTCTTTGGATACTGGAGACATGGTTTAGCCAGGAGGGAACTACATAGATGCTTCCAGTATGTGGACTGAATGAGGACTTGCATCTGTGTACAAAGGTAAGAAATCAGATTCAGTACAGAATGCCATGACACTGCAGAGGACAGGGGCCAACTGGCAGCTCTGTTTCTCCTCCCCTAGAGCTGGGCCATAGATCTAGTACCAACATTGGTATATGCTAGGAGTAGCAGTACAAGGAAGGGTCACAGTCCGAGGCTTTGTACTTAGCAATAAGTGGGAACAGAAGAGACTAGAAGCTGTGTGATTCACTCCAGGAGTGGATGGGGTTCACAGATCCAATCTCCAGCCCAGCCTGAAGTCTGCAGCAGAATAATTAGGGCAAAGCACTTAGACTGAAGGGGAGCCTGCAGTTCTGTTGCTCTGAACCTGCAGGGCCTTCCAGTAGCTGACAGTGGTTGAGTCCAGCAACATTCTACTACCAGAGGCAAGCCCAGAGTTATGTTCTTCAGACTCCAACCTGGCTCAGGAGCAAGCAAAGTTAAGACCAGGAAGGCAGTAATCAGACTTAGCTCTGGA